ATAACTTTTTTATACTTTTAAATTTTTTTATGTTTTATTTATTTTTGAGAGAGAGACAGCGTGAGCAGAAAAGAAACAGAAAGAGAGGGAGACATAGAATCCGAAGACAGGCTCCAGGCTCTGAGCTAGTTATCAGCACAGAGTCTGACGCGGGGCTCGAGCCACAAACCGGGAGCTCATGACCTGAGTCGAAGCAGGACGCTTAACCGACTGAGCCAGCCAGGCAGCCCTTTTTCACACTTTTATTTTCAACCTATCTGTGTAATTATTTTGAGACACAATGCCTGTTGTAGCATACAATGAAGGTAGTAGTTTGTAAATCTTTGCTTTTTAGTTGGAAAGATTATTCTATTTACATGTAAAATAATTTATTGATATGGATGGGTTTAAATCTACTACTTTGCTTTTCAACTTCTTCTCTATTGGTCCTATTTGATTTTTGGTTACTCTGTTCCTCCTTTCCTGTCTTCTATTGGGTTAATTAAAACTATTTTCCGGGGTGCTTGGGTACTCAGTTGGTTAGTGTCTGACTTAGCTTAGGTCATTATTTCATAGTTTGTGGGTTAAAACCCCATGTTGGGCTCTGTGATGACAGCTTACAACCTGATGCCTGCTTCAGATTCTGTGCCTCCCTCTCTCTCTGTCCCTCTCTTGCCCATACTTGATCTCTCTCTGTCTCTTAAAAACAAATAAATGTTTAAAATATTTTTAAAATAAAAAAAAATAAAAATAAGGACACATATATTTTTTCTAAACACCAGTCATCTTTTATTGGATGTTAATTCTCAATTGGGTTATGAAAGGATTCAAGGGTGCCAGGCAAAGATCATGGTCTAAAATGCAGACTGTACCTCCACACTAGGCCCTCTTCAGTAGTACTTGCGTAGCTGCTCATGTTTTCTCTTTTTCTTTCTTTTTAAAAATAGTTTATTGTCAAGTTGGTTTCCATATAACACCCAGTGCTCATCCCCACAAGTGCCCTCCTCCATGTGCATCAGTCCCCTCCCCCTCCCCCACACCCATCAGCCCTCAGTTTGTTCTCAGCATTCAAGAGTCTCTAATGATTTGCCTTCCTCCTTCTCCCCAACTATTTCTCCCCTTCTTCTCCCCCATGGTCCTCCATTAAGTTCCTCCTAATTCTCCTATACATGCAAACATATGGTAGCTGTCCTTCTCTGCCTGACTTATTTCGCTCAGCAAAACCCCCTCAAGTTCCATCCATGTTGCTACACATGGCCAGATTTCATTCTTTCTCATTGCCATGTAGTATTCCATTGTATAGATAACCCACATCTTCTTGATCCATTCGTCCATTGATGGACACTTAGGCTCTTTCCATGTTTTGGTTATTGTTGAGAGTGCTGCTATGAGCATTGTGGGTACATGTGCCCCTATGCATCAGCAATCCTGTATCCCTTGGGTAAATTCCTAGCAGTGCTATTGCTGGGTCCTAAGAGAGTTCTATTGTTAATAGAGTGGACGTCCCTGTCGTGTACCTGATCTCAAAGAGAAAGCTCTCAGTTTTTCCCCATTGAGGATGATGTTAGCTGAGTGCCTCTCATAGATGGCTTTTATGATGTTTAAGTTCCTTCTATCCCCACTTTCTTGAGAGTCTTTATTAAGAAGGGATGCTGTATTTTGTCAAATGCTTTTTCTGCATCTATCGACAGGATCATATGGTTTTTACCTTTTCTTTTGTTGATGTGGTGTATCACATTGATTGGTTGGTGAATAATGAACCACCCGGATCACCCAGGAATGAATCCCACTTGATCTTGGTGGATCATTCTTTTTATGTGCTATTGGATTGGATTTGCAAGTATCTTTTTGAGGATTTTTGCATCTGTATTCATCAAGGATATTGGCCTGTAGTTTTCTTTTTTTTCGGGATCTCTGTCGGGCTTGGGAATCAGAGTGATGCTGGCTTCATAAAAAGTGTCTGGAAATTTTCCTTCGATTTTCATTTTTTGGAATAGCTTGAGAAGACTGGGTATTAATGTTGTTTTAAAAGTTTGGTAGAATTCCCCAGGGAAGCCATCTGGCCCAGGGCTCTTATTTGTTGGGAGATTTTTGATAACTGATTCGATTTCTTCACTAGTTATGGGTCCGTTCAGATTTCCTATCTCTTCCGGTGTGAATTTTGGTAGTGAGTGTGTCTTTAGGAATTTGTCCATTTCTTCTAAGTAGTCTAATTTGTTGGCATATAATTTTTCATACTATTCCCTGATAATTGCCTGTATTTCCGAGGGGTTGGTTGTAATCAGTCTATTTTCATTCATGACTTTGTGTACTTGAGTGCTCTCTCTTTTCTTTTTGAGAAGCCTGGCTAGATGTTTGTCAATTTTGTTTATTTTTTCAAAAAACCAACTCTTGGTTTCATGGATCTGTTTAACTGTTTCTTTGGTTTTTATGTTGTTAATTTCTGCTCTGAGTTTTACTATTTCTCTTCTTCTACTGGGTTTGGGGTGCTCTTGTTGCTCTACCTCTAGTTCCTTTAGGTGAGCTGTTAGATTTTGGACTTGCGCTTTTTCTAACATCTTGACATAGGTCTGGAGTGCAATGTACTTTCCTCTTAGGACTGCCTTTGCCGCATCCCATAGAGTTTGGATTGTTGTATTTTCATTTTCGTTTGTTTCCATATACTTTGTCATTTCGTCTTTAATTGCCTGATTGGCCCGTTTGTTCTTTAGTAGGGTGTTCTTTAACATCCATGTTTTTGGAGCTTTTCCAGAATTTTTTCTGTGATTGATTTCAAGCTGCATAGCATTGTGATCTGAAAGTGTGCATGGTAGGTTCTCAATTCTTTTATATTTATTGAAGGCTGCTTTATGTCCCAGTATGGGATCTATCTTGGAGAATGTGCCATGAGCACTTGAGAAGAAAGTGAATTCCATAGCCTCAGGATGTAGAGTTCTAAATATATCTGTCAGATCCACCTGTTCCAATGTGTCTTTCAAGTCTATTGTTTCTTTAGTGATTTTCTGTCTGTTTGATGTATCCATTGATTAAAGTGGAGTATTAAAGTCTCCTGCTATTAGCACATTCTTGTCTATAAGACTATGTCTGTTTGTGTTTATTGTTTTAAATATTTCAGTGGTCCCATATTCGGTGCATAGACATTTATAATTGTTAGTTCTTCCTGATGGATAGACCGTGTAATTATTATATAATGCCCTTCTTCATCCCTTGTTACTGTCTTTAATTTAAAGTTTAGTTTGTCTGATAAGGTACAGCTACTCCAGCTTTCTTTTTATTTCCAGTAACATGATACATATTTCTCCATCCCCTTATTTTTAATCTGAAAGTGTTCTCCAGTCTAAAATGCATTTCTTGTAGACAGCAAATAGATGGAATTTGTTTTTTTATCCATTCTGCTACCCTATGTCTTTTGTTTGGAGCATTCAGCCCATTTACATTCAGTGTTATTATTGGAATAGATGGGTTTTGAATCATTGTGTCATTTGTGGGATTCATGCTTGTGGTGGTGTCTCTAGTCTCTTGCGTTCCTTGAAACATTTTCCTCAGAGAGCCCCCCCCTCAGGATTTCTTGTAGGGCTGGTTTAGTGGTGACTAATTCTTTCAATGTTTGTTTATTTGGAAGGACTTTTATCTCTCCTTCTATTCTGAATGATAGTCTTGCTGGATAGAGGATTCTTGACTGCATATTTTTTCTGTTCATCACATTGAAGATCTCCTGCCAGTCCTTTCTGGCCTGCCAAGTTTTAGTACATAGGTCTGTAATCATTTTGATAGGTTTCTCTTTGTATGTTTGGGCCCTTTTCTCCCTAGCTGCTTTCAAAAGTCTCTGTGCTTATATTTGGCAGTTTCACTATGATATATCGTGCAGAAGATCGATTCAAGTTACGTCTGAGGGGAGTTTCTGTGTCTGAATTTTAACGTCTACTTCCCTCCCCAGGTTGGGGAAGTTCTCTGCTATAATTTGTTCCAGGACTCCTTCAGCACCTTTCTCTCTCTCTTCCTCTTCTGGGATTCCTATTATAGGGATATCGTTCCGTTTGATTGTATCACTGAGGTCTTGAAATCTTCTTTCATGTTCCTGGATCAGTTTATCTCTCTTTTTCTCAGTTTCTTCTTTTTCTATAATTGTGTTCTCTAAATCACTTATTCTCCTTTCTGCCTCTTCAATCCGTGAATTGGACGCCTCCATTTTATTATGTATCTCATTTATCACATTTTTAAATTCATCATAACTATTTTTAAGTTCCATATTGTTTGTAGCCATAGTTTCTCTGATGTCCTCCATTCTTTTTTCAAGCCCAGCGTTTAATTTTATGATTATCATTCTGAATTCTTGTTCAGTTATGTTGCTTATATCTGTTTTGAGCAGTTCTTTAGCTGTCATCTCTTCCTGGAATTTATTTGGAGGAGAGTTCTTCTGTTTTGTCATTTTGGTTAGCTTTCTATCTCTTGTTAATTTTAGAAAGTTGTTGTACACTCTGTCCCTGTGAGTTCTGCTGTATTAGAGGGGGCTCTTTGACTGTTCAGGGCCTATCTGTTCAGAAAGTGTTCTTTGAATGGTGTCTCTTGGTTTCTCTTCTTCCGTGTTTGGTTATTTTGTTTCCCTACTCATAGCTGTATTTGGGACTCTCCACCATCTGTAGTGTGGCTTGTTTCTTGAGGCAGCCATAAACAGTTTTACATAGGATTCTTTATGCTTTATTACATCCCTTCATAGAGGGTTCTGCTCCAGTGTCTTCTCAAATGAGATTACAGTTAAACAGTGCTACATCTTTTAAAAGTGACCAAATGTGGAAAGAAAATCCACTGCCTATATTTTAAAAAGAATTCACTTAATGCTTTTAGAACATCTGAGTAACTTACATAACTTGCATGCATATATCCAAAGTCTAAGAATTTGACCGAAGTAATTAATCATGGCTGTTTACAAAATACATTCACAAAGTGCTCATCTCAGTGCTATTTTCAATATCACACTATTGAAAACAAACCAGCTCTTTCTGCCATCTTTCTGTGCCTCCATAATGGTGCGCATTAATGTCCTGGCTGATGCTCTCAAGAGCAATAAAAATGTTGAAAATAGAGGCAAATGCCAAGCTCTTATTAGGCTGTGCTCCAAAATCATAATCCAGTTTCTAACTGTGATGATGAAGCATGGTTGTATGGGCAAATTTGAAATCATTGATGATCACAAAGCTGAGAAAATTGTTGTGAACCTCATATGCAAGTTAAACAAGTGTGGAGTGATCAGCCGTAGATTCAATGTAGAAGAACTCAAAGATCTAGAAAAATGGGAGAATAATCTACTCCCATCTTGCCAGTTTGGTTTTATTGTACTGACAACCCCAGATGGCATTATGGACCATGCAGAAGTAAGACAAAAACACACAGTAAGGAAAATACTAGGGTTCTTCCTTTAGGGATGAAATACATACGTGTAAATAAAAATGCCTCAATGGACAAAACAACACAAAACTAAATGCCCACACCAAAACATTGGAATTAAAGAAATAAAGGTTGCAAATGCACGATAGAGTACTATTATGTGCATAAACACACACAACTTGCATGTATTCATGACTGGTTCCCTCTAAATGGAAGAATTTTGAATGTTTTCTGTTTTATATTTTCTCCCAAATAATAACCATTTACTTAGCTCAAAAATATGGAAGTCATCAATCTGAGTTGTTTTCATGTGAGTGGTTTTAAAGATTTGGGTCAGGCTCAGCTGATTTTTGCTATGGTTCATGCATGTCTTGGTAGATTTGCTGGTGATTGTTACTTGTCTGGTGGCTGGTAACCTGTTGACTGAGATGTGTTCTTGTATCCTCCAACAGACTAGCTTAAATATTTTTACAACATGGTAATGTTCAAGGTCCAGTAAACCCATAAATACCAACACCCAAGTGTTTTTCAAGCTATTGCTGCTGCTCTTTTAAAAAAAAATTGTGGTTTTAAAAAAACATAAAATTCACCATTGTAACCATTTTTAGGTGTACAGTTCAGTAATGTCAACTATATTCAAATTTTTGTGCTGCAGATCTGTAGAACGTTTTCATTTTGTAAAACTAAACCTCTATATTCACTGAACAATTCCCCACTTTCCACTCTTCCCAGTCTTTGGTGGCCACCATTTTATTTTGTTTCTATAAGTTTGACTATGTTAGATACATCATATAACTGAATTCATACAATATTTGTCTATTTGTTGCTGGGTAATTTCACTCAGTGTAACATCCTAAAGTTTCATCTATGTTGTAGCACACAACCAGATTTCTTAATTAAGGCTGAATAATATTCCATTGTATGTATAAGCCACATTTTCTTTATTGATTCACACACTGGTGGACATTCTGTCTCTTGTGAATAATGCTGCAATGAACATGAATATGGAAATATCTCTTTGAGATCCTTCTTTCAATTCTTTTTGCATATATACCAAGAAATAAGATTATAGGATCATATAATAATCTCATCTTTAATGTTCTGAAGGAAACTTCATAGTACTTTTTTAGAGTACTGCACCATTTTACAGTTCCAACAACAGTGTACAAGGGTTCCAATTTCTCCACATCTTCACCAACTTGTATTATTTTCTGTTTTTTTTAAATATAGTGGCCAGCCTAATGAGTATGAGGTGATAGCTCACTATAAGTGTTTTTTAAAGTTTTTATTTAAATTACAGTTAGTTACCATACAGTGTAATATTAGTTTCAAGTGTATAATTTAGTGATTCAACACTTATATACAACATCTGATGCTCATCACGACAAGTGCACTCCTTAATCCCCATCACCTGTTTAAGCCATCCCCATCCTACCCACCTCCCCTCTAGTAACCATCAGTTTGTTCTCTATAGTTAAGAACCTGTTTCACGGTTTTCCGTTTTCCCCTATGATCATTTGTTTTCTTTCTTAAATTCCACATATGAGTGAAATCATATGGTATTTTTCTTTCTCTGACTTCTTTTGCTTAGCACAAATACTCTCTTGATACTCTATTGCTCCATCCACATCTTTGAAAATGGCAAGACTTCATTCTTTCTTATGACTAATATTCCATTTTATATATATACATTGCTCATCTTTATATATTCATCAGTTAGTGGATATTTGGTCTCTTTCCATAATTTGGCTATTGTTGATAATGCAGCTATAAACATTGGGGTGCATGTATACCTTCAAATTAGTATTTTTGTATTTGTTGGATAAATACCTAGTAGTGCAGTTACTGGGTCACAAGGTAGTTCTATTTTTAACTTTCTGGGAATCTCCAAACTGTTTCCCAGAGTGGAGACACCACTTTGCTTTCTACCAATAGTGCACTTTGCTTTCTACCACAAACTCATCAACACTTGTTTCTTGTGATAATTTTAGCCATTATGACTAGTGTGAAGTGTTTGTTGTAGTTTCGATTTGGATTTCCCTGATGATCAGTGATATTGAACATCTTTTCATGTGTCTATGACTATCTCCATGAATTTTTTGGAAAAAATGCCACTTCATATCTTCTTCCCATTTTCTAATTGGATTATTTGTTTTTTGGGTGTTGAGTTTTATAAGTTTTTTATATATTTTGGATACTAACCCTTTGTTGGATATGTCATTTTCAAATATCTTTTCCTATCCATAGGTTGCCTTTTAGTTTTATTGATTGTTTCCTTTACTGTGCAGAAGCTTTTTATTCTGACGAAGTTACTCTAGTTTATTTTTGTTTGTTTCCTTTGCCTCAGGAGACATATATAGAAAGAAGTTGCTATGGCTGATGTCAAAAAGGTTAGTATACTGTGTTCTCTTCTAGGATTAGGTTTCTTAGTTCTTTAATCAATTTTGAACTTCATTTTTTTGTATGGTGTAAGGAAGTGGTCCAGTTACATTCTTTTGCATGTTGCTGTCCAGTTTTCCCTACACCATTTCTTGAAGAGACTTTCTATTTCCCTTTGGATACTCTTTCCTGCTTTGTCAAAATATTACTTGACCATATAGTTATGGGTTCATTTCTGGGTTTTCCATTCTGTTCCACTGATCTATGTGTCAGGTTTTGTGCAAATACCATACAGTTTTAATCACTATAGCTTTATCATACAACTTGAAGTACAAAATTGTGATGTCCTCAGGCTTCACTTTTCTTTTTCAACATTGCTTTGGCCACTCAGATTCTTTTGTGGTTTCATATGAATTTTAGGATTCTTTTTGTTCTACCTCTGTGAAAAATGTTGGTGGTATTTTGATAGGGATTGCATTAAATGTGTAGATTGTTTTGCATAATATAGACATTTTAACAATATTTGTTCTTCAAATCCATGAACATGGAATTTTTTTCCATTTGTTTTTGTGATCTTTAGTTTCTTTCAGAGTGCAGGTACTTTATAAATTTCCTACAGAGTACTTTTCAGAGTACAGGTCTTCCACTTCTTTGGTTGGGTTTATTCCCAGGTATCTTATTTTTAACTCCATTGTAAATGGGATTGATTTCCTCATTTCTCTTTCTGCTGCTTCATTATTGGTGTACAGAAATGCAACAGATTTCTATATGTTGATTTTGTCTCCTGGGACTTTACTGAATTTGTCATGTATCAGTTCTAGCATTTCCTTGGTGGAGTCTTGAGTTATCTATATAGACTATCATGCCATCTGCAAATAGTGAATATTTTACTTCTTCCTTGTCAAATTGGATACCTTTTATTTACTTTTCTTGTCTGATTGAGGTGGCTAGGACTTTCAGTACTATTTTAAATAACAGTGGTGAGAGTGGACATCCCTGACTTGTTCCTGAACATAGAGAAAAAGCTCTCAGTTTTTCCCCAATGACGATAATATTAGTTGTAGATTTTTCATTTAAGGCCTTTATTATGTTGAAGAATGTTACCTCTAAAACCTATTTTGTTGAGAGTTTTATCATAAATGGATATTGTGCTTTGTCAAATGCTTTTTATATATGTATTGAAGTGATCATATGATTATTGCACTTTTTTCATGTGGTGTATCACATTGACTAACTTGTGAATATTGAACCAATCTTGTAGCCCAGGAATAAATCCCACTTTATCGTGGTGAATGATTCTTTTAAAGTGCTGTTGGATTTGGTTTGTAAGCATTCCATTAGAATTTTTGTATCTGCGCTCATCAGGGATATTAGCCTATAGTTCTCTTTTATAATGTAGTCTTTGTCTGGTTTTGGTATTAGAATAACACAAGCCTCATAGAATGAATTTGGAAGTTTTCTTTCCATTTCTATTTTGTGAAATAGTTTGAAAAGAATAGGTACTAACTCTTCTTCAAATGTTTGGCACAATTCATCTGTGAAGCCCTCTGGACGTGGACTTTCACTTGTTGAAGGTCTTTTGATTGCTGATTCAATTTCCTTGCTCATTTAAGTTCTGTATTTCTTCTTTTATTAGGTTTGCTTGTTTATGTTTCTAGGAATTTATCCATTTCTTCCAGATTGTCCAATTTGTTGGCTCATAATTTTTCATAATAGTTTTGTATGGTTGTTTGCATTTCTGTGATGTTGGTTGTGATTTCTTTTCTTTCATTTGTGATTTTATTCAGGTCCTTTGTTCTTTGGGATAACTCTGGCTAAATGTTTATCAATTCTAAAAATGTTTTCTAAGAACCACCTCCTGGTGTCATTGATCTTTTCTGTTTTTTCTTTTAGTATCTATGTCATTTATTTATTCTCTAACATCTATCTATCTATCTATTTATTTGTTTGTTTATTTATATTTACTATTTTATTTAGTTTTTCTTTTGCTAACATACAGTGTAATATTGCCTTCAAGAGTAGAATTCAGTGATTCATAGCTTACATACAAAACTCGGTGCTCATCACAAGTACCCTCCTTAGTACCCATCACCCATGTAGCCCAGCTCCCACCCACGTCCCTCCAATAACCCTCAGTTTGTGCTCTATCATTAAGCATCTCTTGTCCTTTGTTTCCCTCTTTTCTCTTTTCTCCCTTTTGCCATATGCTTGTCTGTATCATTTTTAAAATTCCACACATTTGTGATATCATATGGATATTAGTCTTTCTGATTGACTTATTTGGCTTAACGTAACACATTCTAGTTCCATCCATGGCATTGTAAATGGAAGGACTTCATTCTTTTTGATGGCTGAGTAATATTCCACTGTGTGTATATACCACCTCTTTATCCATTCATCAGTTGATGGACATTTGGACTGTCTCCATAGTTTGGTTATTGTTGACAATGCTGCTATAAACTTTGGGACACATGTACACCTTTGACTCAGTATTTTTGTATCCTTTAGGTTAATACCTAAGAGTGCAATTGCTGGATCATAGGGTAGGTAGTATTATATTCAACTTTTTGATGAACCTCCTTACTGTTCTCCATAGTGGCTGCACCAGTTTGCATTCTCACCAACAGTGCAAGAGGGTTCCCTTTTTCCACATCTT